AATCTATTTAAATTAAGTTATTAGATGAATACATGATAATGATAAATGCTGGCAAAATTTAAAAAATGATACACCAAGTTGAGCGTTATCAACAAAATAGATATTTTGTAGTTTCTCGCGGAAAAGAAACATGTAGTTGGCGATTTGGTCGGAAAAGATACATTAATCACCCCATTTGGATAAAAAAGCTAGCGTGGCCGGATTAGATAGTGACGTGGCATTATAACTTTATTTAGTTCATACGTGTTATATACATGGCGTGATGTGACATCATTATCTCAAAATACACAACTACACATAGATAAATAAAAATAAAATAAAATAAATCCAAAAATAAATAAATATAAAGACACATTAGCAAAAAAAAATAACAATAATTATAATAAGAATAAAAATAAAAAAATAGAAAATTTAAAAAAATCCAAAAATAAAAAAATTTTGTTCTATTTCCTTAAATATATATTAATAAAATATTTTTTAAAATTATATTTCTTTAATACATATAAAAAATTATTAAAAAAATAAAAAAATACTTTGTTAATATTTCGTTATTAAAAAATATTTTGTTAATGTTTTGTTAAATATAAATATATTCGCGAATATATATTAAAAAATATTTTGTTAATAATAATAATTATAAATAAGTTATTATTAATTATATTATTTAATATAGTAGTTTTACATAAAATTTTATTTACTTAATATATATAAGTATTAAATATAAATACGAATCACAAAATATAAATTTATATTAAAAAATATATTTTAATTATTTTAAAAATATATATCTAAAAAATATATTTTAATTTATTTAAATTTGTGATTTATATTTATATTTAATATACTTATATATATTAAATAAATAAAATATTATGTAAAGTATTATATTATATAGTATAGTAAATTATATATAATTATTATTATTAATGAACTTCATTTTTTTTAGCATTTTTTAATATATATTAGTGAAATATATTTATGTTAAACGAAATATTAACGAAATATCTTTTTTATTTTTTAATATATATTAACAAAATATAAGTTTTTTAAATATTTTATTAATATATAGTTGACAAAATAGAACGAAATATATTTTTTTCTATTTTTTTATTTTATTTTATTTTTGGATTTATTTTCTATTTATATTATTATTATTTTATTTTTTCTGATGTATATTGATTTATTTTTCGAGTATTTTTATTTTTATTTATGTTAGCGTAGTTGTGTACTTGGAGAGAAGGATGACACATAACGCCACGTATATCACACGTAGGAAATTGAGGAAATTTATAATGTCACGTCATTATCTAATCTGACCACGTCAGTTTTTTTATCCAAGTTGAGTGCTTAATGTATCTTTTCCGACCAAATTGTCAACTAAATATTTTCTTTCCGTGAGGGACAACAAAATGACTGTTTTGTTGACAACGCCGACTTAGTGTATCATTTTTTAAATTTTGCCGCTAAATGCTTAACAAAATACTTGAATCATATTAATGTCAATAAAATTTAAGCATTATTATTGGCGAATACTTAACAAAATACACTCAAACTTACTAAGATACTCGAGTACAAAATAGGAGTAATTCACGCTATAAATCTCATATTCAAAATCTGTGTATTGTTCTCTTATATTCATATCCGATGGTGGTGTTGATTTCTTGCATGACCTGCACACTTTGGAGTTCTTAAATAGTATAAAATATTTTGGTGTTCCAAATCATTAATTGCACTTAAAGGTTGAGACTTCTGTCATGTTGTTGAGAAACATTGACCATTCGATTGGACTGTGTAGTGGAACACGCTTGGTGATACCGAAGCTTTTCACTCACGTGTTTGAATGTAAGATTCTAACAGGATCAAATGATGGACATAAGGTACTGGTACCAAGACTTTTCCTATCTCCATCTGACCTCAGGATACCCTTCAAGTTTCAGCGTAGACAATTTACTCTTATGTTTTCTTGCGCAATGACAATCAACAAGAGTCAAGAGCAGTCGTTATCCCATGTCGGACTTTACATGAAAAGACCTGTGTTTATTAGTCATGGTCAATTATACGTTGATGTGTCTGGAGTCACTAATCCACAGGGATTGAAGATATTAATATGTGGTTGGACGATAATGGGGAAAAGAAAACTACTAAAAATGTTGTCTATCGAGAAATTTTTCTAAATTTATAATACCATATAATATTGTACTTTTACTATCTATTCAATAATAATGTTATTTACTTGTCATTTACTTTTTATGATATATATATATATATATATATATATATATATGTATATTAATGTATTTATTAAAATATTTTAATAAATATGTTCCGTGCATCGCACGGGTGAAGATACTAGTTATATATAAGGGGAGGGGATTGATATATATATGTATTTAAAAGTTATATGAATAAATAAAATATTACATTTTTTTTGTACGAAATATACATAATTATTTTGAAAAAAATATATACATACATATTTAATTTCATTAAAAAGAAAATTGTCTTGTTATCACTCAAAATTGAGATTACCGTTGTCAAGTTTATCCAAACTTAATGAATTAATGAATAAATACGGAAAATATCATGTAGGTAAAGGCCTCTAAGACTATATTTAAACCCAATTTAATAATAAAAAATTATTTTTCTATTATCCACCTACACAACCCAACTTTTAACAATCTATATATCTTTATCCCCAATACAATCTAACCCAACTAAATATAATATTTATTTTATTTTTATTTATTAATTATTAAATATTATATACAAAATATTTTATTTTATTATTTTATCTACAATTCAACTCAACATAATAATTTCAATTGTGCTCCAAATTGTTAAAGAGCCACGATGAGAAGTCGTGGTTGGTAGATTGTCGGTTTCGAGCTCCCCCCGTACGTTCGCTTTGCCGGAGAATGCTGTTTGAGTAAGTCCGAGAGACAGGCCTATGGATCCGTTGGTCGATTCACAAGACCAGCTGAAATCAAACTATCATCGTCGCACCTACAGTGGGGTCAACGAAAGGTTTGAAACCTGAGCTACGAGCTAGTGAAAAGATGTGCCGAGATATATCAAGAGTGTTCTCTATTTATAAAGAATGAAAAAAGGTAGAGGAGCGAAACAATCAACCTATTGATATTGGAAGAACTAACTGATTCTTCCAATGATTGTTTGTTTAATATGAAATCATAAGAATTTTGATATATTTTATTTTATTTTTTAATATAAAATAATATCTATAATTTGAGTTATAGTTATCTTAACATATACTAATATTTATAATGATCAATAGGAATGAGACAAGTGTCACATTCATCTCTCCTTTACCTAAAGAGAATGAAATTAACAAAAAAAAAAAAAAAAGAAGTTGCGACCCAAGGTCACAATGTGACTTGGGTCGCCAACCTTGTGCCCAACTTTTTATTATTTTTTTATTATTATTGCGTTTAAATTGGTGACCCGATGGGAGAGGTCACCAATAAAGTTAGTCTAAAGTCATTGCCTCTAGGGTGTTTTGGTGATTGGTCTCACACCATGTGGGCAACATCGACTTAGCCAAGCACGGGTCGGCCAGCCAACCAAAGGGTTGACCCTTTGTCTACTAGCCCAATCATGTTTGACTCTGATAAAACTTGCACTATTTTTGTAGAGAGGTATAGAACGCGTTTTGTGGTTAAAGGTTGTACTCAAAAGGAAAAGATTGATATAAATAGACATTTTATTCAGTTTATTCAAATTACTTTTTAAGAATAACCATGGCTCTAGCGGCACATTTTGACTTGGAGCTCCACCAGGTGGATGTAAATGGTACAATAAGAGAGCTTTTAGGCCGATGACCCGAAGAAGATGATTTGTAAGTTAAAAAAAATCATCTATTGGCTTAAACAAGCGTTTCGATAGTGGTATCACAAAATTTATAAAGTAATAATATCATATGGTATTGAAATGAATGTTGTTGATAATTGTGCTTATCACGAGTTCAGTGAATGTAAAATCACTTTTTGGTTTTATATGGGGAACTATTGAAGATCAAGTGATCACTAAAGTGATTACCCGACAACTCAAGAGCAAACAATCATTCCAATTCACATACAGTTTCAAGGTACAATTGGAGAACATGTTTATTTCGAACCTGAACCTCAAACTGTACTTATAGAACAAACTCATGAATATACAATTCAAGAGCCAACAATTTTGCGCAAATCCACTATAAAACAAAGAAATTATATTCTGGACGATTAATTAGTCTTTCTTTAAGAAATGAGAATGTGGTGACTGTGTCCCTGGTTCACGACTTTTAGAAGTTCTCTAAATCTCAAATCCCAATTTTGAGTTTCAATTCGATCAATGAAGATGAATCAACCAGTACGCTTTCACTATTTGATTATAGCTCTCGATTATTCAAAATAAATACTATTAAATTAAATGTGAAGTTTGTTTTGTATAAGGCTAAATATATTTTTTTTTTATGTATCATTTATCTATATTTATAATAAATTTTATTTTCTAATCGCGTCTTATTTTATTTTTTGTTTTCTATTTGATCGTATTTTATCATGTCATTTTCATCGTGTCATTTATTTACCTATGTCATTTATATTTGTAATTTTATTTTCTAATTGTTTTACTTATTACGGATCTTCTATTTGATCGTATCAATAATTACTTTTGAGACATTTTTTTTTATGTATCATTTATCTATATTTATAATAAATTTTATTTCTAATCAGGTCTTATTTTATTTTCTGTTTTATATTTGATCGTATTTTATCATGTCATTTTCATCATGTCATTTATTTACCTATGTCATTTATATTTGTAATTTTATTTTCTAATTGTTTTACTTATTACGGATCTTCTATTTAATATTAATAATATTTACTTTAAATCACATCGTGTTAGTATTTCGTAGGTCAAGTAGCTAAGACATATTATTCCCCATCAATGTGTTTATCATCATAAATCCTTCTCACTCATTCAACTAAACCCGTTAATGAGAGATGGAAAATAAGAATAAACCACCCTCACCGCCTGATTCAACTTCCCTTCCTCCGCATACAGCTGCAGCTCCCGGCAGTGAAGAACACATCAGGCTCTCGCCGCCGCTGGACTCGCCGGATAACTCACCGGCGGATTCTCAATCGTCCCCGTTCCACTCCAAAATGGACAGTGGAGGGCATATTTCGATGTCTCCCTCGACGGTGGGGTCCCCCCGTAACTCGCCGGCTCGCTCTTCGCTTGCCTCCGATCATGCCAACATCAATTGCATCCCAGAGAACAGGAATCTTTATTCTCCGGAGAATAAGCCTCCGCCGCCTGCCGCGCTGGTGAAGAGGGACGTGTTCAACGAGCCTGTGGAGAACAGGGTTGTGCTGGAGAAGCCTATGGCAGTGGTGGAAAGGGCTGTTTTTGAGAAGAATAAGACCGCGGCCAAGTCTGATTCAGTTCCTACGGCGGTTGCAGGAGGCAGCGGCGGCGGCGGGGAGAGTGGGCGGCGGGGGTATAGATCTTCTCTGTCGATATTGAGGGGAGGTAAAAGAGAGAAGATGGTGAAGAAAACTGCGCTGGGGTTCAGGATTTTCGGATTCCTCTTTTGCTTGGTCTCGTTTTCAGTTATGGCAGCTGATAGAAACCAAGGCTGGGCTCTTGATTCATTTGATCGCTACAGAGAATTTCGGTATATATATGATTATCTCATGTTCAAATTCATCATTCGTTGTTATTGGGATTGAAATTAGTCAAAAAAAAATTTGAATTTTGAAAAAAAAAATCATATTCAGTTTCACTTTTCAAACTGTTTTTTTTTTTTTTTTTGCAGGTACTGTATGTCTGTGAATGTAATTGGGTTTGTTTACTCAGCTGCTCAAGCTTTTGATATATCATATAATCTGGGAACTGGAAAGTATGTATTGCATCATCAACAGCCACTCCGTTTTTACTTCGATTTTGGAGCTGATCAGGCACGTTGTTACATATCCGTGTGTTATGATGATTTTGCCTTGGTCTTCCTGCATTACTTATTAAACATACTTCTTCTTGTTTTGATCTTATACTCATCTGTTTATTGTGTTGTTTGTACGTTATGGTAATAGCCATCAAATGTTGTGAATCGTTATATTAGGAAACAATAACAATTTAACAGAAGTGCTGATTATTGCAACTCAACTATACTTATTGACTCTAGTTGGGCAAAAAATCATCACAACAATCACTTTATGTATGGTTCAGCTTAGCAATAAGATAATGAGTCAATTAGAGTTTTAGAGTTAATGTTGGATGATTTAACTGTTGAATGTTCGTATTGGCCGAAGATATTCTCCAATTAAATTCATCTGTTTCTCTTTAGTAGAAAGCTAGTATTCTGGTGATATGTGCCTCGTTTTGGTTATCGGATAAATGCTAGGGAAGGGAACCATCACAGGGTCACAGTTTCTAGGATGACCTTTTGGCCAAATTCTGTTTTCGTTTCATTTTTTTATTCCCTGATGAGTTCCTCATTTTGCCAGTATGTTCGAAAGTAGAATTACTCAGTTAGTACTCAGATCATTGCTTTAAACAATGTTTTCTAGTCACTTGTGATTTTGTACCTCATGAAAGATGAAATATAAATGATATAAAGTAGAGAATTCATCCACTACCCGTGCTTATACTCAAATGCTCATTGCAAGTCATCGATAACTCTTCTCATACAATTTTCTTCTTCTTTTTTTCTTCTCATTCATTTTTCATTTTCCCCTTATGGGATTTCTGCTTATTTGATTAATTTATTTTGGTGGCCAGACAATTGTGGATGATTTTTAATTTCCAAGTAGCAAGGTTTTTAGTTCTTGATTCCCAGTTGCAACGAAACACGCTCTGCAGTGAATGCAATTAAAATCCAATCCAAACTCACATGGAAAATTTCATTGACTTTACTAAATATGGTGTGTTTCATTTATGGTGACAGATAATTGCTTATCTTCTAATATCGGCATCTTCATCGGCTGCCATTCGTGTCGAGGACTGGCAATTCAATTGGGGAAAGGACAAGTTTCCGGATTTGGCAACTGCTTCAATATCGGTGTCTTTTCTCGCTTTTGTTGCCTTAGCCATTAATTCACTCATATCTGGTTATGCTCTTTGCACGTCCAACTCGTTGTAGTTTCAACTATCGTTTGCCTCGTTTCACTCCAGAAGTTGTGATCAGTTTGTGTAAAGCTGAAAAATTTATCATTTACTGAGGGTTGTACCATTTGTTGTATGTAGAATATCGATAGTCTGGTGTTGAAGTATTGTTTGTAATATGTCATGTTTTCACATAGTGAATTTTACTCTCACGAAGTGTAACAAATCTCGG